CTGTAATCTGACTGCGAGGACATTGACTATTAAGCCGAAATCTAACATTTGTGTGGTTAATGAAGTTACAGTGCTAGACAACCTTGCTTCTTCTCATTCTGTTTCTAATGGTGTGAACCCTACCTCTTCACAGCCAGATTTATCTTCTCTTGGTTTGAATGTTGATACTGAGAATCTGTCCCCTCAGCAACTTTTGCGTGTTCGCCAAGTTTTAGGCAGTTGGAATCATGTATTTTCCAAGGGATCAACTGATATTGGTTGTACTGATCTCACACGCCATAGGATTGTTTTAAATGATGACACCCCTTTCAAGCAGCCTTACAGGAAAATTCCCCCTGGAATGTATGAAGAGGTGAGGCAGCACCTTAAGGATATGCTTGATTGCGGTGCCATCAGGCCTAGTGACTCTCCTTTCTCTTCTAATGTTGTTCTTGTTCGGAAAAAGGATGGTTCACTAAGGTTCTGTATTGATTTTAGAATGCTTAACTCTAGAACAAGAAAAGATGCCTATATGCTTCCTCGTTTTGACGACACTGTAGACCTTTTAGTGGGTTCTAAATTTTTCTCTAAACTTGACTTACGCAGTGGTTACTGGCAAGTTGAGATGGAGGAAGATTCAAAGCCCTATACTGCTTTTTCTGTTGGTAATCTTGGATTTTACGAATTCAATAGGCTTGCCTTTGGATTAGTTAATTCAGGTGCTACTTTTCAGAGAGTCATGGAACGTGCCATGGGTGACCTTCTTTTGCGTGAATGTCTTGTTTTTGTTGATGACATTTTGGTCTTTTCTGAAACTTTTGAGGAGCATATTGTTAGGCTTGAAAATGTTTTTCAACGTTTATCTTCTCATGGTCTTAAACTTAAAGGCTCTAAGTGTGAATTTTTCAAAACGTCCGTTTCTTATCTAGGGCATGTTATCTCTGAGAATGGTATTTCTACTGATCCTGAGAAAACTTCTGCTATTTCTTCTTGGCCAGTCCCTAAGAACATTGCTGAATTAAGGACATTTCTTGGAACTGCAGGTTTTTACAGGAGATTTATTAAGGATTATTCCAAGTTGGCCAAACCCCTTAATGACTTACTTGAGGGTCATGGTAATTCTCCCAAATCTAAGTCCAAGCGTTCTAGAAAGACTGCTACATGGGTATGGGGTGATGCCCAGCAATCTTCTTTTGATATTCTGAAGGAAAAACTTACTTCTCCTCCTGTTCTTGCTTTTGCTGACTTTAGTAAACCCTTTAAAGTCCATATCGACGCGAGTGGGTCTGGATTAGGGGCCGTGTTACTTCAAGAGCAGGATGGCTCAGAGCATGTCATAGCTTATGCCAGCAGAGGTTTAAGACGTAGTGAACGTAATTACCCTGCTCATAAACTTGAATTTTTAGCTTTGAAATGGGCTGTCTGTGATAAGTTTCACGACTATCTTTATGGCAACCAATTTCTTGTTTCTACTGACAACAACCCTTTAACTTATGTCCTGTCCTCTGCTAAGTTGGACGCGACAGGTCATCGTTGGATTGCTGCTTTGTCTGCCTATGATTTTGAAATCATATATAAGTCAGGTAAACAGAATCAAGATTGTGATGGGCTATCTCGCCGACCACAACTCTTCAGCGATGCTGTCAAGGCAGTGTGCTTTGCTGCTTCTGTCTCTCTTTCTTCTGCTGAATGTTGCTCAGGAGATGAGGTCCCTCATATGGCCAATGAGGAATCTTTTCCTTCTGAAGCTGCAGTCAGACCAGTGGATTGGGCGGTAGAACAGTCTAAAGACACTGATATATCTTCTGTTCTTTCCATCCTACGTTCTGGTTCTCGTCCGAGGGGGGAGGAGATGTCGAAAGACGTCAAATCTCTTCTTCGTGACTTCTCTCGTCTTTCTATCAAAGATGGTGTTCTTTATCGTACCGCCACTCTGGATGGAGAAGAAGTACAACAACTTGTTATTCCTTGTTCTCATAGGAATATTGCTTTTACTGGTGTTCATGACAATGTAGGCCATCCCGGACGTGATAAATCTCTATGGTTAGCTCGTCAACGTTTTTATTGGCCCGGCATGGAGGCAGATTTTAATAGTCGCATTTCAGGTTGCAAAAGTTGTATTTGCAGAAAGACACCGGTAGTACCTGCTGCAGAATTGGTTCCAATCCAGACTTCAAGACCCATGCAACTTGTGTGTATGGATTTCTTGAAGCTGGAGAAGTCCAAAGGAGGGTATGAGGACGTCTTGGTCATTACCGACCATTTTACCAGATATGCCAAGGCTATTCCTTGCCGTAATCAAAAGGCGACTACCACTGCTCGTGCCTTATATGAACATTTTATTGTCCACTATTCTTTTCCAGAGCAGCTGCATTCTGACCAGGGGCGGAATTTTGAAAGTCGGGTCATCAAGGAACTTTGCAAAATTGCAAATGTTCGAAAGACAAGAACCACTCCTTTCCACCCTATGGGAAATCCATCAGCGGAGCGATTTAATCGGACCCTTCTCAGAATGTTAGGTACTCTGGCAGAAGATCATAAATCTAAGTGGGCAGATTTTGTTCCTTCTCTTGTTCAGGCTTATAACGCCACCAAGAACTCTTCTACAGGTTTTTCTCCTCACTTTCTTATGTTTGGATGGCATCCCCGTCTTTCTGTTGATGCCTATCTTGGTACTTTTCCTTCTAACTCTGAACATCTTTCTCCTACTACTTATGTTTCTCGTTTGAAGGAACGCCTTCAATATGCTTATCGGTTAGCTGGTGATGTTGCCAAGAAGCGGGCTGATCAAAACAAGAAGCAATATGACCGTAGAGTTCGCGAGAACAAATTGGTTGTAGGCGATATTGTTTTGGTCCGAAAAGTCAATCTTCAAGGGCGACAGAAGCTGGCAGATAAGTGGGAGAAGGACCCTTTTGTTATCATTGACGTACCATTTCCTGACCAACCTGTATATAAAGTACAACTTGAGTCTCGAAAAGGTCCTGTCAGAACCCTTCACAGAAATATGCTTCTTCCATTTATTTCTATCCCTGAAGAAGATACAGATTTACCTGTTGAAAATAAGCCTAAACCAAAACCTAGGCGTGTTCCTATACAGAAAGAGTATGATGCTGATTCTAGCTCGTCTGAATCATCATCTGGTGTATACATCATACCACAAAGGAGATTTCCAGTTACTCGCAGTCGCAATACTCGTGTTGATTATGGACATTCTTCTGATGCTCATTCTATTTCTATCCCTTCATTTGTTCCCAGGATTCACCCCAATCCTGTGACATATTCCCCAGACAATGTCCCAGTTACTCCAGTGAGTGTACCAGTTACTCCAGTGAGTGTTCCAGTTACTCCAGTAAGTGTTCCAGTTACTCCGGTAACTATCCCAGTTACCCCAGTAAGTGTTCCAGTTACTCCAGTAAGTGTACCAGTTACTCCAGTGAGTAGACCAGTTACTCCAGTGACTATTCCAGTCATTCCAGTACATACGCCCGTTTCATCTTCACGCCCTATTCCACGCCCTAGACGTGTGATACATCCACCAGATAGGTATGGAGAATGGGTTTAAGTGTTGTATAATGTTGTATCATTTTTTTATGCAGTCCTTTTAAATTTCACATGGGTCCTATGTATGGAGGTATATACTATGTATTTATTATTTTCAAGTAGAATTGACAACTCTACTGTATTGCATTATTTCTTTATATTTTACTGTTTAACTATTGCAAAATAGTTATAGGAGGGCAGTATATCTTAAATAATATGATATATTTATGTCGTCATATGAATATACAGTGAATTGCATTTTGTTTTTCGAATTGATCATAATGTTATTTTTTTCATAAATCCAGGTTTCATTAATAATTGTTTAAGAAAATGCCGGTGTCATTTTTAACTAGAGGGGGGAGTGTGTAGATAAGGTTAAATTAAGCCAAGTTCTCTTTTTAGAATGTTTACGGTAATAATTTCCCTTTAAGGCCAAACCAAATCTATTGTGGTGTTATGTGTTCATGTTTGTCTTTGTACCTTTTGTTATGAGTGATTGAACTGGTTTTGCAAGTTGAGTGATGGATGATTGGTTTTGGTATGCAAGTTATTTTTAGATGATTTGGTTCTGGGATAGCTAATATTTCTTGGTAACTGACCACTCCTTGTCTCGCTTTCGAAGTGTAAAGAGCTATAAAAATATTTAACATTCAGTAATTTCTTTATAGAAATACTTGATTCTGATTTCTATTATTTCATTAGATCTCATCTATATAAAGCCTGGTATGTATATTTGTATATATTTATTTGTGAAATTGTTTTTATTGTAATTTGAATTGTTGTGTAATATTCTGTATTATGTATTTTGTGAAATGTATTTGTCTTGTATTATATTTGGTTGTAATGTGATGTCTTATACTTATATTATTTGTTACAGGTTTTATTCTTGATTGAATAAACATATAAACCTCATTGAGTATTGGTTTAACATAAACCCCACCACTACATATATAATACATTACCCTGAAAGTCAAATAAAAATATACAAATGAGAGTTAATATAAGTTCTTTTAAACCAGTATTTTCATATATTACATCATTTTATTGGATCAGGTGGGGGTTGTTGTAGAAAGTGCAGCAATTCAGGGGCAATTCTAAGCCTTGGAAATGAAACAGATAAAAATTAGAATGATAAACCAGAATTGCTCCTGATTATCTTTTGCTTTCATTATCCATGCAAGTTACAGTAATTTCTAATCAATTTTTACATATAGCAAATGTGCATTTGTCCCAGGAAATTATTTATAATTAGCCTGAAGTTGCTGTATTTAACTTATAGCTCAGGGGATGGCCATGGCATGTTATTTACGAGAGGGGGTCAAGTTCTTAATGGGGATAGCAACCAAATCATGATGAAAAAGGATCTACATGTATACATACTAGTTCTAGTCTGTGAAAAAATTGAAATCTTTTGAAGATGAAATTAAACTCTTGAGTCTTTGAATAAACAAAGAATTTTTATCATTCAATTTTATCAGGTAATCATCAGCCATGAGTCGTTTATACGACACTGTTGAACCATCAGTAATTGATGAGGATATGCTCCAGAAAGCTGTTGAGGAACAAGGACCTAAGGATGAAGCAGGAAAAATTGCTAAAGCTGAGGGTATTGACTTTGGAGATGTGGAATCACTCAGATTAGAGTTCAAAAGTATGATATTTACATTTGATTAAATATGTTACTGTTCCCTTGTGTTGTAAAACAGAAAATATTTAAAAGTTACAGTACAGCTACTGACAATTATTTATATGGTAAATTCATTGTTTTACTTCTAATTGCTTCAAAGCACATAATCAATTTTACATATTCATCACTTATTTGGTAGTGGTTTGAACAAGTACAAATATAGTGTGAACTTTAATAAACTTGCAATTAAAAAAAAACAACAGATGTTGAATTATGGTCAGACAAGGATATCAATCTATTGTTATCAGTGTAGAAGAATCACTTGCCAAATTATTGTTCAGGAAAAATAATTTTGCCCTGTCTCTCTGAGCTATACAGAATGATGCATCCATTTATGTTGAGCTGTAACATAACCTGCTTTATTGAAGGATATCCAAATATCAAATAAGATGTCAGTAAGTCTTGTTTAAGGCCCATTAAACCTTTAGAAATGCTATCATTTTTTATTTTCTAAAAGCTTATTCTTTGGTGTCCTGTTATAGGAGCTGACACATCTTTCACTTCTTTTGCTTTTTAGCAATGAGTACTGTAATTATGGTGTTGATCTAATTCCTACAACATCTTGGTAAAGTTATTGATTATGAAAATTGATTCAGAGATAAAAAGATTTTCCAAAAATTGAGAAAAAAAATATAATTATCTTTTTATTTTGTGATTCATTTGCAGATATTTTGGAAATTGACAATTTGTGGAGTTTTACCTGTCTCACAAAATTGCAGCTTGATAACAACATTATAGAAAAGATAAAGGGCTTGGATGAACTTGTCAACCTTATATGGCTAGGTATTTATGTTAAATTAATTACATGTTTAAAATTTACAAATATTTAAAAAAAAAAAATCATAATGGACATAAATTGGAATATTACAATAAAAGAGTTTTTTGATATGATGGAACAAGGAAATAAAAAAAATGTGTAACACTATCAATTTTTGCTGGTGCTTTACAATTATAACGTTCAGTTACTACTACACATTACAGTTTACAGATTAATGGTTATATTAGTTTTTTGTAACATTGATACTCAACTTAGATTGGGTGACAAAATTCACTAACAGGTATATATTGTATTTATTTCAATGATTGTATGTCCTTTTTAACTCACCAGTTAGATGAATTATTTCAATTGACAATACATGTAGTTATAAGCTAAATACACATGTATTTTGAAATTTTATGAAGAGCATGGATATATTTAGCCTTATATATGATTAAATTGCATGCCTTTATTAGAGGCCCTAACTGCAAACAGCATATTACATGTTTGAGTGCCTCCATTACAAGGTTGTCTACCATAATAATAAGTGAGTGAATTTAGTTTGTCACTACTCTGTGTTTGATTTCTGCCAGAGAGATCAAACTGTTTCATGCGAGGAAGTTTTACACCTTGTGAATGGGAGGTTGATGGTTCTTCTCAGGAGAGCAGTTAATGTTTCGTTCCTCCTATAAATAACAGAAAATATTATCTTGTCTTTGCTAGTGCAACGTCATATATGGTCATTTTGGATTTCCTCTCAATAAGATTTGTTTGTTTGACTTTAACAGACTATATTATATAAAGATTTAGCATACACTGTAATGTTTTACATTTAGATCTCTCTTTCAACAATATTGAGATGATTGATGGTCTAGATAAACTGACAAAACTTCAAGATTTAACATTATATAACAACCGTATCTCACGGATAGAAAATATGGAAAAACTTACAGACCTACATGTATTCTCTCTTGGAAATAACAACCTCACAGATCTGGAAAATGTAAGTCACATGTTTTCTATTATGCTGAAATCTTTTTTACCTCAGGTTTATATTAACATTAATTACATACCTGTGCCGCTTTTGCAACTCTGTAAAAATGGTAATTGCATGGAGTGCATATATTTCGATGTGACGTCATTTGCATTATATTGAAATAGCGTTAAGATGTGCTAATATGTTAGCTTTATACTATAGACGCGTCATTGAAAAAATTATTATTTTTCAATTTAAACACTCTTTATTTTGGGTATGTGATAAACAGAATATTAAATTCGTGGAAGTTCATTACTGAACTTGTTTGATAAAATGATATTATGCTCGCCAGAGGCTCACATAATATAATTTTTAATTCAACTTGTTCAATAAATTCTGTATTGAACCTACACTCATTCAATATTCTCTATTAAATAAGTCAGTTTTACCATACTCTGCATAATATTTAAATTCACATCTGTCATGTTATATACATGTATTTATGAAAAATCATAGATACAAAAATATGAATATCTAGTTTATTTCAGACAAAATCAAACCAACAATTTATTGTGTTTTCAGGTTGTTTATTTGAGAAGATTTAAGAAGTTGAGAACATTAAACTTGAATGGTAACCCATTCTGTGAGCAGGCAGACTACAAACCACATGTTATAGCTTACATCTCTTCCATTGATTTCCTTGACTACAGACTTATTGATGAACAGTCTGTAAGTACATATTGATAAAACAGAAAATGTTTTTCTTATACATATGCTTGTACTAATATTTCTGGAACTGTTTTAATTCTTCCAATCATCTTGTTAGTTTCCCTGAGTCAATTAATCATCATTAATAGAAGTTAGACATGCCATTGATTTTATGTTAGAAAATACACTGTACAATAAACAATAAATACATTTTTTAAATGTACTTTCTGTAGCACATCAGATTTTGTGATTTTTGATAAATTAAGGTTGTTTTTAGGTTATTTATATAAAAGTTATTGGCATGGTCATTTTTGATCAGTTGTAATATCTTGATAATTTGGTGAAAATCAAGCATGCAATTTTGGTTTCCCAATGGTTAAAAATGGTAACTGATTCACTTTCAAAAATGTGAATGCTAGTCAGCGATTGGCTAATAGACAGGTCTAGAGAAGGTAACCCCTATTGGTGACTGGATTCACTTTCATAAATGTGTTTGCTAGTCAGCAATTGGCTAATAGAAAGGTCTACTGAGAAGGTAACCCCTATTGGTGACTGTCAGATCCTAAAGCATAGTGTTATTTAAGATCTGATTTTGATCATATTGGTATGTTAAAAATGTATAATATTAAGATGTAATAAGTTTCAAAAAATTTACTAAAGTAGCATATTTTCAAGCAGATAAAGCATATTTCAAAGGCTGATGTGATTGGAGAATGTTTCTATATTGTGAATGTTTTCAGAGAGCTGCGGCGACAGAGAAATACCACCTGTCTATAGAGGAGATGTTACATAATGAGAGACAAGCTGAGCTTAGACAGGCTGAAGATGAACAGAGATTAACAGAAGAAGGCACACATAAGGTCGGAAACATACACAAATTTTCCCTCAACAAAAACTGAATATAAACATTTTCTTCACTGAATAAAGTTGACATTTTCCTCTCAATAAAAAAAGTTAATCAAAAAAATACTATTGTACTGGGCAATCTTAACCAAATGCATACAGTATAAAAATCTTTGAATACTGTATATATATCTCCCTCAATCCTGTAACTTAAGTGCAAAGTCAAAATTAAAAGCTGAAATTTGCCTACAGAATTTCTGTATACATGAACTTGGAATTTGTCATAAGTACTGAGAGTGGTAACTGTACATTTTGCCTGTCGTTATAAAGTGATAATGATATTTGTTATAATGTTGCAGGAAGCCTATGTAGATGGTTTGAATGGACCTGACTTGTTTGAGGGCATGTATGCTGATGATACAGAGGGCAAGAAGCTGAAAGAGATGCCTGGTGTTGATGAACTTGTCATGTTATATCCTTTATACACAAATATTATACTTTGTTTCTCCCTACATGCTCCAGTATATGATTAAATGTGTACCGGTAGTTAGAAGCAAGTGACAAAACATCCATAAATATTGTTATGTGAATGTTTGGGGGTTTTTTTTAAGTTATGATTATGCTTACTAACATTTAAGTTTTTTTAATGATTTAATAGAACTAATTTAACAATATCTTTTATACATCAATATTATATGGACATGATAGTGTTGAATGAAGTCTTGGTGGAATGAATTATACATCATAGAAAATAATACTATATAGTAATAAATAGAATTTCTAGTTGTCTTCAAAAATAAGTACTTTCATGTTAACATATTGAAGTTTTCAGTTATCTAAGTTTCTGTTAGTGGACATTTTAGAATACTTCACAAATCTTAAAACATTTCTTTAAGTTGAAATAGGCTCACAAGTTGTTACAGCTCAATTTCATACAAGATCTGTTAAGAATACAAAATGTTGTATCCTTACACCTGATTGCATCAATATCATTCCACTCCTTAACATTAATGCACATTCCGAGAAAAATTTGTCAACATCTGTAAACAAATATTTGAGTATGGTCTTCAAGAAAATGATAAAAGACAGGAAGAGGTCAACCAGTTCTGGGAATGTGCAGAGGAAGCAAAAACAGAGAATAAGGAAACAGGCATGGTACACATTGATAACTTCATGAACATGAAGAAAAAGGTATTGTTTAATAATGTCTTACACTGTTTAATAATGTTTTTTTTTTAATTTCTTACCCTGTTTTTTAAATGTCTTACACTGCTTTTCATACTGTCCATATCAGCTGAATTTTTACATCCAAAATATAATGCATGTTTATAGTCTGAACAAGTGGCAAACAGGTTTGTCTGAATTATTTTTTGGCAGAAGTTAATTTGGTCACACTTCTAGATTTTATTGCTGGAGAAAGTACTACATGTTGTATGGGTATATTAGATAGTGTTATAATTAAATTATTATGCCACAACATTTTTCAGATATTTGCGGAGCTAAATCATATCACAGATAACAGTCTGTTGGATCAGAAAGTTAAGGAATACAACAAAGATGTGACAGAACTATGGGATAAACTCATGGGATTAGAACTGCAACTTGTAGATCAGTTTGAGGTGTGTTTGAAATGTGAAAAAAAAATTATATTATGATATTAATGCCATTCTTTGCCAGATTTATGTCGCTCAAAACAGTTATTATACCTCATTTTTAGGTCATTTTGCACAATAAAAAAGAGCTACAGATTTTAAAATTTTCACACAAGCCTTTGGTTTAGACAGCTACATGAAATGGTCTAAGAATCTTTGGGGGGAAAAAGGTTTTAATTCTGTCTGTCTCGTTGAGTTCCTTTAATGAAACAAGTTAAGAGCAATTTGTAAGATTGTAGGTGAGATTTTAATGATATAAATCAAAGTTTCTTTAAACATATTACTGTAACACTTTTTCTTATTTTGTGAGCTATTACACAATAACTCAAAGTTTCATCTAAGAAATATAAAATAAATTGTGAGGCCTAATTAGCTCAAAATAGAAATTGTCAGCAAGCAAAGATTGGTGGAACTTAAGTTATCTATTTAAATATTTCAGTAGAAATTCAATTTATAGGAAAGAAAATAGGGCATATTTTTCTTACATTTATATGATTTAATATCATATTAAAACAAGGTATCATGTTTTTTTCCTGTTCCAAAACATGTTCAATGTATCAAATGCATGCCTTTCTATTTCTTTTTAAGGAAATCATCAAAGACTTTGAGAGAAACCTGCAGGACATGGGATCCAACTTCATTGAAAACGTACAAGGTTACCTGTCACAGTGCCGTGACCTTGAAAATGCTCATCATGAACGCATGCTCGAGATTGCCATCATTACTCTAGAGAAGTTTGTGAAAAATGAACTGGATGACGAGATTTCAGAAGACCTGAGAAATGTATGTATCATTTTACCAGTGTTTGATCATTTACCTGCATTAAACAAACAAATTAAGTGGTATTTGCAGTCCTTTTGCTTCTAATGAACAAAAGTAAACATACACTTTCACCGCCACATTTATAAACACGTAATGTAATTCCAAGTACAAATTTAATTTCTAGAAATTTCTGGAATTCTTGTTTCAATAAATATAAATTTCAGAATATGAATTTATTCTTAATGAAACATTATTATTAGAGTTCATATTCTTGTTGAAGTTACATTTTTGCGAACATGGCAACAGTCTGCACTGCAATTACCTTAAATGTGACTTAGGCAGTGAATGGTGTAAAAGAAAGCATGCTAGAGATAGCCAATTTATTTTGAAATACAAGGTCTTTCGTTGTATGTTTTTTAATCTTAATAATGCTACCTGTTTAAATGCTACAAATTTGACATTAACTGTAACTGTTTTTTCTTTTCAGTTGTTTGTGGACAAAGACACAATTATCAACGCTGTGACATCATCACATGATGTGCACTTACTAAAAATAGACAACAAGGAAGATGATATGGTCACGAGAATCAACAACTGGATGAAAACTTCCATCGAAAAAATTCATTATGAGCAGGAAGTGAAGCGTAATCGTGAACGCGTTGCTGAAATAAACAATTTGATAGATCATTTACGAGATGAAATAGACAACTTGGAAGTGTTACAGGGTGCTGGATATTGAGGAGTAGAAATGAGCCGCGTCATGACAAAACCAACATAGTGCGTTTGCGACCAGCATGGATCCAGACCAGCCTGCCCATCCCCGCAATCTGATCAGTATCCATGCTGTTCGCTTACAAACCGTATAACAAGTAGAGAAACAGATAGCGAACAGCATGGATCCTGGATCCATGATTATGTTGGTTTTGTCATGACGCGGCTCAAATGTGTGAGAGTTCATACTGACTGACATTTCGTATCATTTGAGAATGTAATGAGAAGCCTGAATGTTGTGTTGATGCTTCAGGGGAATTGTTGATTGTTATGATGACCCTTCAATATCAACTACAGTTTCATGTTTTCAGTTATTTTGTGATGATAAAATAGTACCCTAGCAATTAGTGATTTATCACTTTTTTACACCGCCTCCGTGGTCAAGGGGTTAGAGTCGATGACTTCTAATCCACTTACCTCTCTGGCGTGAGTTCGATCCCCGGGAGATGCTTTGGTTGTTTAGCGCGGAGGAAGGTAGTCTAGTACTGGTGTAACTCTCCAGGAACGATGGTTAGGAAACTACCCGCCTATATGACTGAAATACTGTTGGGAAAAGGCGTAAAATGACATAAACAGACAAAAAACTTTCTTTTCTTTTGAAAGCTGTGAAACTTCTATTTTTTTTAAACATCAGTTTATTTACAATGTATTATTGTTCTGTGAAATGTTGACTTAACATATTAAGATGAACACAGGGCAGATCATTCTTGTCTATTACAATAAATGGAGTACAAGATTTCATATTCATCATTATAAATGTTACATTTTTGAAAGAACTTTTGAATAAGGCATATGCATTTAGTTATTGGTTTTAAAAAGCAGAGTCCAAAACTATATCTTGTATTATTTGTGCAGATGTTTAAATGTTATTTCTTGTTATAAATGTGTATGTTATATTTATTTCTGAACTGATTTAAATAAAATAAAATCATACTTGATATTGTCTAAATATTTTATTATTAACCTCTGACCATTACTGCAAATTTTATCTTGATTTCTTCTTGCTACATCAAAACACTATCAGCATCTTAAGATGCAGTGTGTTCAACAGAAGACCATTTGCTAACACCATTATATTGTATGTTTAAAGTATTTCATTGACATTAACGTCAAATTAAATTCTTTATGGAACTTCACCTGAAATCTGCACTGTAAGGCAGGTAATATAAATCAAACAGAGGTAGTGTGTAATGGGCCTGTACAGGAGTGACAAGGGTAGCTGACTTGGAATCACTTGCTCCTCACCTGCATTGGTTCAAATCCCTCCAGGAACTTTGGATTCTTTAATATGAAGATGCTTTTCAGCCAGCTTACAGAAAATCAGTAGATCTACTAAGATTGTGCCTGAAATAATTCATGAAGACAACATCCTACATTTTTGTGATACTAGGGATCACTTCTCCATTGTTTATCTGTCCTGTCTCAAAACTTGTTGGGACTACTCCTTAAAAACTACTAGTGTAATTTCATCCAAACTTTACAGCAAGTCTAGTTCACAAGCACGAGTATCGGACCTGGGAAGAAAAAATATGACCAGATTGATAATAAAACCTGTGTTCATCTTAAAAGTGTCAAAAAAAAAAAACAAAAAATTGTAAATAATGACCCCCTTTTAAAAATATACTAAAATGACCACCAATCATGTATAGACATATACATCGAAACAAAACAGACAGGTGTTATTTCTCCTATAATAAGAAGTGAAGAAAAACAATAAATACATATGAGAATTTATTCCTAACAAGTTACAGATTAATTTAACATGGCTTTTTCTCGAATTGATGTATTTTCACTTGACCAGTGTACAAACAATGCAGATGCTGATAATCTACTTCTTAATTCTAATACATCCATATCATGGTACCATTCTACATTGCCCCAATACGCAATCTGAAATAAATATAATCATAAATTATTGTACTTTAGTAGTGTTACAGTATATTCATAAGGTCTTAAAATAATAGTTACTCTAAACAAACAAAAACATGTTGCTGCCAAATTTGATAGTTAATCACATTTTCATCAAAATAATCATGTGACTAAGTAGTGTTCTTGTGACTTACTAGAGATGACCCATTTTAAAACCTTACATTTTCTTTAAGGACAATATAAAGACAAGAGTCGGTTGAACCAGGTGATGTTCCCTTAACAGGTTTTGCACACAGACAAACTACTTCTTGTGGATATTTCTTGTAGTTTCATAGTTTCAGAGTTATGTCACGCACAAAATTCAATGTGTAAAAATGAACAAAGGACAATAACTCCAAAATTAGGCAAGCCAGATTTACGGTTCTTTTGCACTGCACCTCTACTCAATGAGATCTATCTACTTACAAAGTTTCTTGTTAATACCTCTTGTAGTTTCAGAGTTATGTCCCGGACAAGGAAAGGGGAAGGACAGACGTTCTAACAAGACATTACTTATGTGGCTCCTCTATCGTTCTCTCTAATATTCTAATTATCCACATAAAGGAAAATAGCCACATAAAAACCTTACAGAATCAAAGAGAAGGTACAGTTTTCTACTGTTCCTCTACCCACATAAGTATCCAAATGTTAGCTTGGACAGACATCCGGAAGGACGGACAAAGCTGCCACTATATGCTCTCTCTTTTGGGAGCATAAAAAAGTTTCATAATAACTATATCTAATCAAAGTGGAACCAATAGAGAGGTTTAACCATTAAGCTGCTGCAGCTCTTAAGCTGCGGTCTCACTTACTCCAGGCAGAGCCCAGGACCATCCCGGTAAGTTACCGGGATGATCCGGGGTGAAATTATTGTTTCGGGCACACTTACCCCGGCAGCACTATGGTAGTTCCAACTAACCACCAAGGATGCGCTCCGCATCATCCAGGCAGAGCCCAGGTGAAAGTAACGGTTCATGCCGGTGCTTCCACGGTCGTTCCCGGATGACGCTGGAAGAGCCCCGGTTGACCCAGGCAGAGCCCCGGTCGATCCAGGCAGAGCCCCGGCAGAGCCCAGGACGATCCAGGCAGAGCCCCAGTAAAACCCTGGTGGAACGAAAACGCCCGAAAATGATAACATTGATACATAATTTTTATTTAATATAATATCTATTGTTTCAGAATAGTAATTCATGATGATTTTCTAAAAAATCCTTGTGCCAGACTGGATAGAAGGGAAATGGGAAGGGTATAAATACAAACAAGTGCAATCATCGCAAATTGTCGTTATTCTTTTGAAATGAACCGGGCTTTGCCGGGGCTCTACCGGGATCAACCGTAGCTCTACCTTTATCCTCCGGGGCTCTGCCTGTAGTTATCGGGGCTCTGCCGGCATCTACCGGGGCTCTACTGTAGCTCTACTGGCTATATCATACCCCGGATCATCCCGGGTTTGTGCCGGCAGAGCTACGGTGCTTCCCCGGTATAACCCCGGTCATTCCAGGCAGAGCTAGGGATGAAGCCGGCAAAGCTATACCTTCCCGGATCTTCCAGGACCACCCAGGTGATATTAAATATTTTATTCCATCCGGGGTCGAATGCTGGATGTTCCTATGTTCCTAGATCATCCCGGACGTTGCCGGCAGAGTTACGGATGTACTCCGGTTGTTCACGGTCGTACCCCGGTCGTTCCCGAATCACCCCGGACGTCTACCGGGGCTCTGCCGGGATGTTAGTGAGACTGTAGCTTTAAATTTGTTTTTTCCCAGCTGCATTTTTGGAACTGTACATTATCAATTTAGGTAAGATAACATGGTACAGACTGGACTGACTCTTTACTGGTGAAAAAAGCTAATCATTTACTGTTCCAGAAGATTATCAGACACTTTAGTGATGACAATTATCTCACATTGTCTGGAATCTTATTGTGATCAAAATTGCTAACATCAGTATTTGTGATTACATGATAGTTCAGTCCTCATTAACAAGTATATACACGTACCTGGAAATCTTGTTCAAGTCTAGACAACTCCACACATCTTTCTACAGAGATATGTTTGTCCATCAGTGCAAGTACTAGTACGAGAGATTTAATGGCTTCTGCTGCGTAACTATAGCCTGTAACACAACAGATAAAATATGTGAGATAACAATATGGTAAACTAACATTTTACTTGTTTATATGTTTACAATTACTAGTAATGTTAAAACAAGAATCAATACGATACAAAAAGCATATACAATTTGTATCAACTTGTATTACATTGCTAATTTTAAGCTTTTCATAAATTGATAATAGAAAGAAAAAATCCTATTGAATATAAAATAATAAAGAAATTTATTTTTTAAGTTAAAAAACCATACAGTTTATTCCTTATTCCTTATTGGTGATTTATTCCTTATTCTTGATATAATCTTTGCCAAATAAATAAATAAAACATAGTAATAAATGCTGTCACCGTATACTATTCAACCATTTATAAATAATCTGCAATAACTATGAATACTCCTTGGAAACATTAAGTTCTTTGATGAACAAAATAATAGCTTCTCAAACCTACTCATTTGTGAATGTATTTCAACACATACTGATAAATGTATAAAAGCTGTATGAACTAAAGACATAAAAATCTATTTTTAACACTGGTGACCTTGACCAAACATCTACTGACTTGCCCCCTCACCCAAACTTAAATGTCCGCTTAAGATACCTACATGTACATGTACTTACAAAATATGAAAAACATCAAGCAATAAATAAAGACTGAATAAGGAAACATATAAAAATGTTTTGTTTTTTTCAAATAAATACAAGAGACATCTGTTTATAAACAAAGAGTGTAACAGGCATAATAAAGTATAATTAAGGGTAATAATTCAAAAGTAATGACTTCTGGTTCTTTAAGACTGCACTTTTCCTCACATGTGACAAAATGACGGAAGTACAGAATGGGTAACACTATATTAAATGGCATGGGCATAAAAATTTACTATACTCAATAAATTTCTGCAATAAAAGTATTTTACTGAAAGATGAGCATAGAATATCTTTTTAGTTAGGTAATTAAAACATTAAGCAAGGTAGAATTGGAGTCTGATTTCAATGGACTTTTACAATGTGTGAGGTTTTGATCAAATTCCTTTGATAATATTCAAGTTATTTGCTCGACAAGAGTGTATAACAGATGGACAGAGAGACACTCCAACATTACAGATTTATGTCCTTTTTTTTCTTTTTATCCCACACAAACCAGAAAATACAATCACTGTTACATGTACTCATAATTTTAATTTAGTATACTAGAAATGATCTCACTTGATTGTAAACAATATCATACTAATAAAACCTATAATTTGATTCATTTTTAACAGAAGATGTAGCTTACCAAATAGTGCCCAGTCACTCTGCGACTGCATATGTCGTGTTAAGGTTGTCACGGTTTCAGTGGGAAGATTTGGGCTTGTCATAATACTCTCAGCAATAGGTACTTCTATCTCATACCTATAACAATAACATATACAAGTCAAAGTTTAAAGTAAGGTATCTTTAAATTAAATGTTACTGCTTTTCTAAATCTCTAAGCCTGCAAGCTGCAACAGATTCTACCCATGCAATCAATGAAGACCAAAACAAGAGCCAGTTGAACCGGGTGATGCTCCCCGAATAGGTGTTGGACACAGGAAGTTAAACCTCTTGTAGTGTCAAAGTTATGTTCAGAGTCACAGACAAAGTTCAAAGAGTAAAAACAACCCAAATGTTGCGCGCGACACATCGTCTCAATATGGTGATCATTTCTGTAAAATAGTTGTAAATTCCAACTTCAAATAACCAAGTTATGGGCTGGACATGATGTTGCTGCAAGGTCATGCTGTGACCTTGACCTTCAAGGTAGCGACCCAAATGTTGCGCACAACACGTCGCCTCAATATGGTGATCATTTCTGTGAAATAGTTGTGAAATCCGACTTCAAATAACGAAGTTATGGGCCGGACACGAATTTGGGACGTACGTACGTGCGGACGGACAACCCGGGGACTAATTTTTCGGGGAGCATAATGAATGGGAAGGATGGGCAACACTGTTTGCTATTTAGTCAGTACATATTTTGAACTTTTCCTGAAATTGATGAATGGTTTTGTCCTGGTTGAAAGGTGGACAAGAAACAAGTATATTTACTATATTAAGCATGCTGAAGAAAACTTGCTAACTGCTATTAAGAGTTCTTTTTTGTTTTTAATCATGTTTGAAAAACGATTCTTAAGAAACTGCTTTCATTATTAATATAAAGAAATGCACAATACCTAAAATCTATTTGAAATCACCAGGATTAAGACCCGTGTATAACATAGTACATAGTATTACAAACCTATCTTCTATCCAATGTATGATAGGATCCCATTCTTTCTGTTGTAATGTATAAAATGCATCAGGTTCTAACACTCTGTAACTGTCACATGTAAATAATAAAACACATATTATACTTTACATCAAATTACATTCAATGTTTGCACCTGAAACAGTATATATATATATTTTCTTAATTATAACTATAGTCTATAAAACAGCTTAAAAATACCTTTCTCCAACTGGTTTAGACATACCTTCTGTTGTTTTCAGTTTTTTTTTTCTTGAAGATTTTCAGAGCAAACTAGTATTAAATGTTTTTTCCCCATTATATTAGATTTTCTGGAAATCTGCCAAGGGATATGACTTTATGACTTGATGAAACAAGTTTTGATGTATTACTATTGAAACATTGGCAAAATGAATAAATAATCAATCAAAGACAACAAGAGTTGTCGGTAGGACAGCATGCTTGTGATTATTTTAAGTGCTTGATAGTGAAACAAGAGCCTGGATTATGAAGAATTTTCTATATCGAAAAAGGGCATAATTCTGTCAAAATTCATATTAGAGTTATGAATCTTGGATCATGACCTACTATTATGCTCTCAAAAAAGTGTATAAAGTTTCAACCCATTTCCCTGGGTAGTTTCAGAGAAACCAAATTTCATGCAAAAACTGAACCAAATTCAAATTGTGATGCAGGAACCAGGGTTAGTATAAATAGCTCTCTCTATTCTTCTAATTGACAAGCTTAAAAACATGTATTATTGTTGGCATATTTATGATTACTATTATATTTAGGAATATTATGAACTTAGCACTTGCTTATAATTGTAATCGTAAGCACTACAAAAGGGTTCAATATTTTCAAAATTTACTGAAGGTCTATAGTTCAAATTAGAAAATTTGTCTCAATAAATGATCGTATCAATGGTATTTGAAAGCTGGTGACCACTAAATAATATTTGAGGTATCTTCATGAATTGCAGACACAAAGTACACAAAATAAATTATCCTAGTAAAGTTTGACAATGAAATACAAATTTCATGTAGCAGTATCTTAACTTTACAGCCAGCATAACCCCATTTAAACTATAATAATGGTTCCTTTAATAGACTTTGTTTTTCAGTGACTAAGTAAATTAAAATGGAGGAATAATAGTACTAAAAGTAACATACCTTACAGTATCTGTTTCCAAGAAGTGTATGATACCCTTGATGAGATCATCACGAGATTTGTGCATTGGATTATCTAAAGCTGTGTTACATAGTGAAGTCTGAAAATCATCATTATTATTGTAAATATATATACATTGTACATGTGTACAAATATACTGTATGTAGTTTTTTTTGTTTCATTATTTTTTCTGACATGTTTTGTTACATGTAGCATGTTTTTTCAGCAATAGCATGTTTTTCAGCAATGAAAAACACACCATTTTGAAAGCAGATATGCACCCCTGATATAACAATACATGTATTGTAGTCATTATTACAAGAGTTCCCACAGTCTTTACCAACTTACAACAAATTTGTTTCTAGATCTAGATAGTGATTTGCAATTATGATCCTGAAGACATATGTCATGTTTCAAGTGAATACCTTCTGTAATTTTTTTAATTAATAGTGCACTGTGCACACAAAATTTTAACCAGGAATTTTCAATGTTCCCAAAGTGACATAGTTCAGTCAAAATGCATGATAGAGTAATGGGTGCATTTATGATCTCAATGCCATGTGTAAAATTACAAGCAAATATCTTTAGCAGTCAATGAAATAATAAGTTGCACTTAAAAATTTTACCAAAGTGGAACACCCCTCCCCCCATTGAGTTTGAATGACAAGGTAACAGAGATAAAAGTAAATCAAATGTTACCAAATGCATGCTATGTCTCTGTATAACTTTTTTTTGTCCATTCCATTCTGTAGCAACAGCGAAAGCAAGTTCTTCATTCGGTACTCGAAACAAATTACCGCCAGGAGTGCGAAGCTTTCTTTGATCTAAGTTAATTTCATACCATCCTATATGGAAGAATATATTCAAATAAACATGTGTTTCAAAAATACTAAATACATGTACTTTAATAATTTTCATTGCGAATAAAAATTCAAAATAATCAATAAATGAAATCCTCTTAGTCTTATCAATGAAATTTGATAAACCTGGTCTGAATGTTTAAAATCTTAATTTATCATTTACTATAGAATTGCTAGTACAAAAGCATCAATACATAAGCACTGACACAAATGTGAATTTACACTCTAAGTGCCAATTAAATTATTATATCCATTGGAGGCCATGGCCAATAGGTTAATGTTGTTGACTTCAAACCACTTGCCCCTCAAGGCTGTGGGCTCAAATCCTGACAGGAACTTTAAATTCTTTCATGTGAGGAGGCTATCCAGCTAGCTTACAATAAGTTGATAGTTCTACTCAGGTGCCAGTTCGTGCCTCTAAAATAATGCAAAGAAGGTCACCTAAGTCTTCCTTCACCAGTAAAGCTGGAAAGTCCCCATATCACCTATACTGTGTTGGTACAACTTAAAACCTAACCCCCTAAATATATAATTAGCAATTGCCAGTGAGAAACAAAGTTCATACATAAATTAAAGATACAGACTTTGTATGAAAATAACCATACCTTCATATTTTGATATTGTTGCATTCTTGTAGAACCTTTTTAATTCTGTAAAAAAAAATATAATCATTTAATTTGGAAAATAAAAAACACAGTTTTAAGAAGATACTAAAATAAAATTAAATCCAATACAAATATAGATTAATGTTTAAACTAGATAATTTTGTGAAAACAAATGCTTTTGTCCAAAGTCTGACAATAAATAACAAAGTATCATGTAGTAAAATTTTGTGAATTTTAAATTTCAATTCTAAAGTTAGGATCAATATTATATTTCAGTATGTGAAAGGCTCTTCCCCAGAGATATGTTGCTTCCCCCTAACATCTTCTTTCAATAATTGCTTCAATCATAATGTTGTGATTCATGCATAATACAGCAGGTTTAACAATCATACATAATTTATTCATGATATAATGTCTGTAATTCATGCATAATGCAAGAGGTCTGTCGTTCATTCATAAAGATGTAATGATGTAAGAGGTCTGTAGTTCATCATGTTCATGCATAATGCAAAAGGTCTGTAGTTCATGCATAATGCAAAAGGCATACATGCCATAATTTTTAGACTCATTTCCGGGACACTTTTCATTTGGAGGTGGGGCATTGATCAGCAAATGTATTTTTTTTTAAATTTCAATAGTGGCATATAGCTAAAGAGACTTCAGCGAACAGGTTTGACCTGTTTTACTGTTGCACAACGTCAAAATAAAAGCAACATATAAAGTTATGGAAGCCAGAACTAAGTGGCATACAACCTATATTAATTACCGGTATTTACAACTTGCAAATTTAATGAAACCATAAACAAAAGACAAAATGTCAATCTTTTTTAAGTATTTAAATTTTAGGCATCGTAAATTCAATCAGTCACAGAATAGAATAAAGCTATGTTAAGTAAGGACAATTAGCCATGTAGTGTACCTGAAACATTCGCTGAATCTTGAAGATTTTATCACCTCATATTTAGCGGTAATTTTCACAGTGTCTGACCACTAATAACTGCCTGCAGGCGGATTAAATTTATACTGGCCAGTCGTTAATTACGGTGTATAACACCTTCACTCAGGAAGCCACAGGGGTATTATAAACAATTAATCTTTTAATTGATCATAATTATTGCCGCTAATTGTTTGTTGGAAGGGGCACATAGATATACCAATCAAAGGATTAGTGTCACCATTGCAATGCTGTAAGGGGATAATCGTTTGTTATCTAGACAAGTTTATAAAAACTTGACAATAAAATTTTTACAAATGTAAAATTTCTTGCTTCAAAGTAGATTATTTTAGAATATTTTTTTACCAGGACATGAATCATCTCCAAGACACCTCCGGGACAGACACCTTATTTCCGGGACTTTCCCAGACATCCGGGACGTTATGGCATGTATAAAAAGGTCTGTAACTCATGCATAAATAATGCAAAAAGTCTGTAGACTTCATGCATAATGTAAAAGGTCTGTAGACTTCATGCATAATGCAAAAGGTCTGTAACTCATGCATAATTCAAAAAGTCGGTAGTTCATGCATAATGCAAAAGGTCTGTAGTTCATGCATAATGCAAAAGGTTTGTAGACTTCATGCATAATGCAAAAGGTCTGTTACTGGTCTGTTGTAGTTACAGGTATGTCATTTACCATTTCTAATATAATACATACACAGCAGAGTATTCAGATAATAGATGAACCGCATGCAACTTTCCGGCTAATTACAATAATCGCCAAGGTGTTACAATTGAAAATAGAAACAATGCATATTAAATACCTATGACAATGAAAAATGTAAAATAGAAAATGAAGGAAATTTTTTTTTTAACTGACTTCCCTGTTCATAGGTTTCGTCTACTCTCACATTATTTGTCCAAAAATATACTGCTGTGCATATTTGATTAAACTAAACGAACAGATGGGAGTATCTGCATGAGGGTCTGTTTAAGTATTACCGGATATCTAAAATCATTTTTAGATACCATAAAGCAGATTTCTAGAGTGTCAACAAATATCAATAGAGTGCCATGGTATATCAAGTATAATTTAAGGTAAATGCCATGGCCATGATGGGGGGATAAAATATTACCCGGGATGACAATTATAACCCAAATTGCATAAGACAGATTTAATTGTATAAGATTGTTTCTAAGTTCTTACAATCATCCTAGTGACACCAAGAACGTTTCCACGAATGATGTCATTACCACACATAATTGCTATATTAAGGCTTTTCAATTCCAAGGTAGATCTAATTCACATAATTTTGATGGAGTTTTCAATGTCATGCAGATCCGTTTCAGCTTTTCATGGCAATATTTTTGTTATAAAACAAAAAAAGCGAAAATCCACATACCTCTTGTATTTAAATGTCTTCTGTTATACCAAAAATTGTTTTTATCTTGTAATTTTCGAGCTAAAATCGTTTTAACCGACCTTTTACAGAACGTTAAAAAACATTGCCTACTGGGCGCAGCCATTTTGAAAGTGTAATATGTCTCCAGTCTTTTGATTGGTTCAGATAATCAAACCTTATTTTTAAACCAATCATATAACGTGATACAATTCCACATCAACAGACAGTTTGACAGCAAACATTTTGCATTTTATTTTTGTGAAAATGCCGGTTAGGGTTGATCCACCTCCACCGCTAAATGCTGAACAGCCAGGGGTTGCAACATCTTTATTGTACAATGGTTCTAGGTTCCAAGGTCACCAGAAAAGTAAAGGGAATTGCTATGATGTGGAAGTTATTTTGAAGGTATATCATACCCCACCCACTTATTTCATATAAAGATAACAAAATGCATTTTTATTTGAATTTGTTTGCATTTTATAATAGTTATTGACTAATTTTTGTTAATAGACTGTCACAGATTTGCAGCCTGTTCGGGACTAAGACCAGGAACCCTTGGATGCTTCTCTGCATAAGCAAGTTTTGAAAGCATACTCGTCGGAGAGATAACTCCGACGCATAGATAACCCAGACACTTGATAAATATAATTGTTATAGCTTTGTTTTTCAACAAACAAGCACATGATCACCTAATAGTATAGGAACAGGACAGAATGTGATGATTTGTTAAATTTTTTAATGTTTTTCAAATAAACTAAACTTTTTGTTGGCAAAAACTGCTTCAAAACGTTCTTTTTACTAAATTACAATAAGTTAGTTAGAAATGTATTGATCTAAGGCCACTGACTTGGGAAAGATTTTTGAAAAATTGTTTAAATATTTACAAAAAATAGATAAACCATATAAGATGTAAAAATAAATTATTGATGCTGATTTTCCAGTCATTTTTTACTTAAAAATTTAAGTGTCGACTTTATCTACTGTTGTGGGGTAAAAAGACCATGTTTTGTATACCTCATTCAAGACCTTAAAGAAGTACCAGATTCCATTTTCATACATAATTTTTGTAATGTAATGTAAAGTCTTTGAACTGAACTTTGTTTAGGTTGTTCAATATTTAAAATATACTGGAAGATGATTTATATATTGCAAAATATATGTGATTTAGTGTCGGAGTTATCTCTCCAACCAGTATATCCCGGTGTAACCTAAATTCCGCGATATAAGAACAAATGTCAATGGCATTTGCAATAAATTACAGTAATCTATAATTATACTTGATATTATTTTACTACAACTATTTAAAAGTTATTTAAAGTTGATTTCTAACAATGTAATCGTTCAGCGGTTGCCAAATATAAACAAATATGGCTGATGTAAAATATTACTATGATCTGAAAATGTCACCTAAATTCGGCAATTTTGATTGGTTGCAGTGAATTTTTAATTTTGGTGGGATTGTGACGTAGTATGTTGACCTAGATCGGCAGTAAAAGACGGCGACTGTCAAAAAATTTTACGCAACAATATCGATCAAATAGAGGAAACTATAGATAAACCTGAAATTGTATCATGTAAAACACATAGTTTTCTCCATGTCATATACAATTTTTAATGTTTACCAGCCGCATCTCCATCTTTAGCGCAGAAAATCACTCGAGTTGTAAAAATAGACCGAAGAAAGTGGCTAGTGACGTACAGGCCTGTACTGCTAGCCAAAAGTTCTAGCCCTATATGAGTCACCCATGTCTAGTCTTTACGCACAGATGAGACTAGCCATACAATTAGCCTAACAAATTGTGCGCTTTAGGGCTTTTTATTATATAGACGATGGCCGCCCTTCGTCTCAGACAAAGACAGACATCTATGAAATATCAGATTATAAAATTGGTCGGTCTTGCTGTCGAAATATTGAGACTAGCCGTACAGTTTTTTCAATACCAATTAAATGCAATGATTAAGTTGGTATAAACTTGTACGTTTTAAATTACATTTTCACAAAGAATGATAATAAATTAAAATATATATTTTCTAAAATTAGACAGATGATAATCAGCTATTTACATGTAGATCTAAATTAGACAAGATATTGAATAGAACTATCAGAAATAAATTCACCTTTAATTAAATAGTCTCGTAAGCCGATGTAAGTTTTGTGTTACAATGTATTTACAAGTTATAATTATTAAAATATTTTGAACATTATATTTAAACTACCTCAGTCTGTAAATTTTCCCACATACTTTAATGTCAAGGTAATTGACCCAATAGCCTGCTTATGTGATCATGAAAAACAGCTGCACTGCATTATTAAAAGAAATTTTCAATGCCCCTAATAGTGATCAAGATAATATTTTATTACAAGTTTATTGCATAGATCTATATTGTCATAGTTTATTTCTTGGTATTCTAGCATTAACTTAAAGCTACATTAAATATAATATGTAAACATATTTTTAACAGTATTGTAAATCTCATTAAAAATTGTTCATAAGGTACATGTATGATTATAAAAGGAAAAGCCCACTGTAACACTAAAGTTTGTATACAAATTTTAACATGCAAATGAAGACTTGTATAATTAGCTTGTGTATGTGCTACGTCACAGTGGTAAAATCAATTGTAACCATGTGGATCACAGCAAATATGAGATATTCTTGTGCAAACAAACTTTTACCGTTTTAGTTTCACGGTGCATAAGCCCTGTCGTTTAAAAAGTAATCTGACATCTCATAAAAAGACTGAATTTGTATGAAAACATCCGTTATATAATGCGGAAATATACCGTTAAATTCGGACTGCTATTCAAAAATGTTTGTTGATTTTCTATTGATATGGGAATGACCAAAAAGGCTGAGTTTCTCATGCAAATAGGAATTGTACTTCCGATTTCGCCACAATGAGGTTGTAGATTTAGGACTTATAAAACTCATTTTGGTTGCCTGATCTCATTTTAGCTGTCTGGACACCAAAATAAGAATGGGAGTCGATATGAAACATATTTAATTAACAAAATGTAGCTTTTTCTTTTTTTAAGAAATTTATTTAATGTAGCTTTAAATTACCAAAATCTGTGATTTTCAGAGGCAAAAAACTTCTGATTATATGACGCCAAAAATTAATATATTGACTGTAATTGATAAAGTTTTCATAATATTCAATAAAATCTTCTTTTAGAAACACAAGTTTTCATATTCATTATTGTTTTAGGTTATTTATTTTTAAAATGCTGTGCGGTGTATATAGGCTAGTCAGACATGACACACATACAGCTTGAACTTTTGGCTAGCAGTATGGGCCCGTACGGCTTGATACTGCCATACCTGAAATCTGCATATTTGTGCCCCCACTTTAGTGGCGGACATTTACCCTTGTCCGTCCTTCCGTCCGTCCATCCTTCCGAGCAAACATTTTGGGTTTAGGGGCTATATAACAGTAAAGAGAACAAAAGAGAACAATAGGTTCATTCCGTGATCAAAGGGTTTATGGGCTAGTAGCCCTTAAGAAAACAAAGAAAATAACAAAGAAAATAGCCCCTAAACCCAAAATGTTGGAACACCCGTCCGTCCGTTCTTTTTTGTGTTGCACGTAACTCAAAAAGTATTTGACCTAGAGTAATGAAACTCTACAGGAATGTTGATCAGCATGTGAAGTTGTGCACCTGGATATTTTTAGTATTTTTAGAGTTATTGCCCTTGACTTAATAAAATTTTGCCATTTTCAACTTGTGTCGCATGTAACTCAAAAAGTATTTGACCTAAAGTCATGAAACTTTACAGGAATGTTGATCAGCATGTGTAGTTGTGCACCTGGGTATTTTCGTTTGGATAATTTTAGTATTTTTAGAGTAATTGCCCTTGACTTAGTAAAATTTTGCTTTTTTGAACTTGAGTCGCATGTTATTCAAAAAATATTTGACCTAGAGTCATGAAACTTTACAGGAATGTTGATCAGCATGTGTAGTTGTGCACCTGGGTATTTTCATCTGGATATTTTGTAGTATTTTTAGAGTTATTGCCCTTGACTTAGAAAATTTTTGCAATTTTCAACTTGTGTTCCATGTAACTCAAAAAGGATTTGACATAGAGTCATTAAACCTTACGGGAAGGTTGCTAAGCATATTTAGTTTTGCACCTGGGGATTCGCTTACAAGTGGATTTATCCAGTATTTGTAGTTATTTCCCTTGAAAAAGTAAAAACCGTTTCATTATGTTGTTATTTGTTCTTTGAGTACTTGAGTTAGAATCAACCAACTTTACAGGAATAATGATCAACATCACTAAATTACAGGAATAATGATTCACATCACTGTGAAGCTATGCACCTGGGAATTAGCATGTGGATTTTTTTCAGTTTTGTTAGAGTTATTGCCCTTGACTTACAGTAGTATAAATTTGCAGTTTTCAACTTGTTCATGCATAGCTCAAAAAGTATTTCACTTGTAGGTCTGAAAGTTTACAAGAATGTTGGTCAGCATGTGTACTTATGCACCTTGGGGTTTGCTTGTGGATTTATTCAGTATTTGTAGTTCTTGCCCTTTACTTAGTAAAAGATTTTTAGTTTTCAAAAAATATTTGACCCAGAGTCATAAGATTGACAGAACAGTGGCGCGGTGGGGCACCCGTGTCCTATGGACACATTTCTAGTTTTGTACTAATCTCATAGTTCCAAAATTAAGCTGAAAGTCTGAAATTTGTCTCAAGAGTCAAATAGTAAAAATCTTTTGCATGCTCCTAGTTTGTGGTACTGAATGCTTTGAAACTAGAAGGAAAACAAATAATCTTTACCATCAACAAACAAGAACTGGTGATTTGGAAAATGAGGATTGTTTTAGATGGATATATAAATTTTAACACATTTTGCAGAAATTAATAAAATGCTGTTCTGTTTTACTAGAAAATATACAGATTTGAAATATTTGGTACAAAAAACTGATTGTTTAAGTGTGTGTCTAAAATAGGTCAATTTTGACCTACAATGTATGTAAACACTAGTCACATGGAAAAATGCCATTACTTTGAAATAAGTGTAGTTATGTTGACTATACTGAGGTCAGTTTAATTAAATCTGTTGCATATTTATTTTCAGAATGTTGATATGAATACATCATATTTGTGTGGTTATCTAAAGATAATTGGTCTTACAGAGGAATATCCAACACTAACAACTTTTTTTGATGGTGAAATAATTAGTGAAAAACATCCTTTTTTAACCCGTAAATGGGACGCTGATGAAGAGGTGGATAGAAAGCATTGGGTAATACAGACTTGCTGTACTTGATAATCACTTTGATAACCTTTTCTAGGTGGTATCATGAAATATATTATTGTACTCAACAAGCAGTTAAATTGAAATTTTGTTCAAATCAAAACTCCAAAAGAGGATAAAATGTGTTGTAACTTTGTTATATACATCTTAAGGAAAAAATATCTGTCATAATCATTTCTGATATTTGAGGACCTTATATACGAAAACATATATATCCTTAGAATATTCATATACATTTACAGTCATGTTTAATTTTCATTTTATAAATCAGCTTGAATGTGTTTTTATTTCAGGGCAAGTTCCTGTCATTTTACCAGTTTAAAAATTTTAATTCAGATAAATTTGATTATGAGGATTTAAAGACTACAGATTTTGTATTTATGAGGTGGAAGGTATGTATACTACAAATCTTTTTTTTACGTCAGCAAGTATGTTAACTAGGAAGTTTATTTACTGTCATCGTTGTCTGTTTGTTAAATAGTTTGTAAAACAAGTAAAAGTGTTGTAGAAATGTTCTTCATATAACTGAATTGCATTAACCTGTTTGTTTATTTCTTGATAGGTTAATGCCACAGTAATTAATGATAGTATATATATACTTTAACTTATATATTTCAAATCATAACTTTTGAATAATTCACTGATGGCCAAAACATACATTTCTATATGTTTATATATCACATTTCTATATGTTTATATAAGGTGCGGAAAAAACTCAACTGCTATAAAGCAGTTAAGTTTGTTTTTTGTGCCCCCACGTTAGTGGCGGGCATTTAGATTTACCCTTGTCCGTCCGTCCGTCCGTCCTTCCGTCCGTCCTTCCGTCCGTCCGTTCACTTTTGTGTCGCACGTAACTCAAAAAGTATTTGACCTAGAGTCATGAAACTTTACAGGAATGTTGATCAGCATGTGTAGTTGTGCACCTGGGTATTTTCGTCTGGATATTTTCAGTATTTTCAGAGTTATTGCCCTTGACTTAGTAAAATTTTGCAATTTTCAACTTGTGTCGCATGTAACTCAATAAATATTTGACCTAGAGTCATGAAACTTTACAGGAATGTTGATCAGCATGTGTATGTGTGCACCTGGGTATTTTCGTTTGGATATTTTAAGTATTTTCAGAGTTATTGCCCTTGACTTAGTAAAATTTTGCAATTTTCAACTTGTGTCGCATGTAACTCAAAAAGTATTTGACCTAGAGTCATTAAACTTTACAGGAATGTTGATCAGCATGTGTAGTTGTGCACCTGGATATTTTCGTTTGGAAATTTTCATTATTTTCAGAGTTATTGCCCTTGACTTAGTAAAATTTTGCAATTTTCAACATGTGTCGCAGGTAACTCAAAAAGTATTTGACCTAGAGTCATGTTACTTTACAGGAATATTGATTAGCATGTGCAGTTGTGCACCAGGTATTTTCGTCTGGATTTATTTAGTATTTTTAGAGTTATTGCCCTTCAAAATTTTTGCAATTTTCAACTTGTGTCGCAAGTTTCTCAAAAAGGATTTGACATAGTCATTTAACCTATAGGCAGGTTGCTCAGCATATTTTAGATTTGCACCTGGGGTTTTGCTTGTGGATTTATCCAGTATTTGTAGAGTAATTTCCCTTGACTTAGTAAAAAGATTGACAGAACAGTGGCGCGGTGGGGGCACCCGTGTCCAATGGACACATTTCTAGTTTCCAATATGAATCAATGAAAAAACTGCACTGCTATATATCAATACAGTTTTCAAATGCTCATTTAAGTGTACTGAGTATAATGGGTTAGTAAGAACAAAGAAAACGTTTGAAACCATGTGATAAATGTTTATATATCACATTTCTATAATAATGTTTATGTATCACATTTCTATATGTTTATGTATCACATTTCTATAAGTTTATGTATCACATTTCTATATGTTTATGTATCACATTTCTACATGTTTATGTATCACATTTCTATATGTTTAAATATCACATTTCTGTATGTTTATGTATCACATTTCTATATGTTTATGTATCACATTTCTACATGTTTATTTATATCACATTTCTTTATGTTTATATATCACATTTCTGTATGTTTATTTATATCATATTTCTATATGTTTATGTATCATATTTCTATATGTTTATATATCACATTTCTATATGTTTATATATCACATTTCTATATGTTTATATATCACATTTCTATATGTTTATGTATCACATTTCTGTATGTTTATTTATATCACATTTCTATATGTTTATGTATCACATTTCTATATGTTTATGTATCACATTTCTATATGTTTATGTATCACATTTCTATATGTTTATGTATCACATTTCTGTATGTTTATTTATATCACATTTCTATATGTTTATGTATCACATTTCTATATGTTTATGTATGACATTTCTATATGTTTATGTATCACATTTCTATATATTTATATATCACATTTCTATATGTTTATGTATCACATTTCTATATGTTTATGTATCACATTTCTATATGTTTATGTATCACATTTCTATATGTTTATGTATCACATTTCTATATGTTTATCTATCACATTTCTATATGTTTATATATAACATTTCTATATGTTTATGTATCACATTTCTGTATGTTTATTTATATCACATTTCTATATGTTTATGTATCACATTTCTATATGTTTATGTATCACATTTCTATATGTTTATGTATCACATTTCTATATGTTTATCTATCACATTTCTATATGTTTATATATCACATTTCTATATGTTTATGTATCACATTTCTATATGTTTATGTATCACATTTCTATATGTTTATGTATCACATTTCTATATGTTTATGTATCACATTTCTATATGTTTATATTTCACATTTCTATATGTTTATGTATCACATTTCTATATGTTTATGTATCACATTTTTATATGTTTATGTATACATTTCTATATATTTATGTATCACATTTCTATATGTTTATGTATCACATTTCTATATGTTTAAATATCACATTTTATATGTTTATATGTCACATTTCTATATGTTTATATATCACATTTCTATATGTTTATGTATCACATTTCTATATATTTATGTATACATTTCTATATGTTTATGTATCACATTTCTATATGTTTATGTATACATTTCTATATATTTATGTATCACATTTCTATATGTTTATGTATCACATTTCTATATATTTATGTATCACATTTTATATGTTTATATGTCACATTTCTATATGTTTATATATCACATTTCTATATGTTTATGTATCACATTTCTATATATTTATGTATACATTTCTATATGTTTATGTATCACATTTCTATATGTTTATGTATACATTTCTATATATTTATGTATCACATTTCTTTATGTTTATATATCACATTTCTATATGTTTATGTATCACATTTTATATGTTTATATGTCACATTTCTATATGTTTATATATCACATTTCTATATGTTTATGTATCACATTTCTATATATTTATGTATACATTTCTATATGTTTATGTATCACATTTCTATATGTTTATGTATCACTTTTCTATATGTTTATATATCACATTTCTATATGTTAATGTATCACATTTCTATATTTTTAATTGTTAATGTATCACATTTCTATATGTTTAATTGTTTATATATCACATTTCTAAATGTTTATCTACCACATATCTGTATGTTTATATATCACATTTCTATATGTTTATATATCACATTTCTATATGTTTATATGTATCACATTTCTATATGTTTATATATCACATTTCTATATGTTTATTTATATCACATTTCTATATGTTTAAATATCACATTTCTATATGTTTAATTGTTTATGTATTACATTTCTGTATTTTTATAAATCACATTTCTATATGTTTTATTGTTTATGTATCACTTTTCTATATGTTTAATTGTTTATGTATCACTTTTCTATATGTTTATATATCACATTTCTATATGTTCATTTATATCACATTTCTATATGTTTAAATATCACATTTCTATATGTTTAATTGTTTATGTATTACATTTCTGTATGTTTATAAATCACATTTCTATATGTTTAATTGTTTATGTATCACTTTTCTATATGTTTAATTGTTTATGTATCACTTTTCTATATGTTTATATATCACATTTTTATATGTTAATGTATCACATTTCTATAAGTTTAATTGTTTATGTATCACTTTTCTATATGTTTATGTATCACATTTCTATATGTTGATGTATCACATTTGTATATGTTCATGTATCATATTTCTATATGTTTATATATCACATTTCTATGTGTATATATCACATTTCTATATGTTTATATATCACATTTCTGTATTTTTATATATCACATTTCTATATGTTTGTATATCACATAACTATCCTGTAGACAGTCACATATTTTAATAAAATGGCTATTTTGCATATAGATATTCACATAATTGTTTTTAACATTATGCTTGTTTTAGACAGAATGTTAAGATTTTAATTTAGTTTCAGTATTGAACACTACAATTAATAGATCATCTATATAAAGTGTATAATATTGAAACAAAAATATCAAAGTCATCAAAATGTCCATTGAATTACATACATGTATATTTGCTACTTTACAAGCTAACGATATGTTATATATGTTTTCAGGAACATTTTCTGGTGCCAGATCACACTATAAAGGACATAAATGGTGCATCATTTGCAGGTTTTTACTATATTTGTTTCCAAAAATCTACAGCAACTATAGAAGGTTTCTATTATCATAGGAGTTCTGAATGGTAATATATACATATATCTGTTTTATGTATAGACATATTTCATTGTTTTAAATTTTTGTAGTACTATATGTTTTTCCTTTAGACATTATCTATGTTTTGTGATACTTTATCAGGTATATATGACTAAAAGTGAAAACTGATAAAAGATTTTATACATTGTGTTATTGTAAGAGTAAATTTATCTTGAACTACCTGATTTACTCCCTGAAATATTGTGTGACATAAAGTATCGTAGTTTTAGTGAAATTGTCTGTTTCTGGAAATTGAAATTTTATATAAAAACCGTAATTGTATATTTTATATTGTTTATTTGTTGAGTATTGTTGAAATAATAGGTTACTCTTATGTATTTGATTATTGTTAGTACAAATGTTAAACTTAATAAATCTTCGTGCAGTAACTCTTCAATACAAAATATCTTAATGATACAGAATCACCTCCCTTTGTCACCAACAAAATGCTGAATTACCTCCTTTTGTCACCAACAAAAATGCTAAATTACCTCCCTTTGTCAAATTGGCTAATCCATGTTTAAATTCACTTTCATGTATAGATGTGAAAACTGAAATAAAAAGATCAACCAAATAAATAATTGATATAAGGATGTCTGAACAAGAAATTTTCTTTAGAAATACATGTACATGTTGTTTAGTTTATACTAATTTATTTTAATTTGATTGTGTTTGAAGCTATAAGGTTATTGAAACAATCTCAAATCCATTCCTGGAACCAACCAGTACCAAGCAATTGGTGAAAAGTTTGAACAGACTAGTAATCTAAGAACTGCTGGTGGTGTGGGTTCAAACCACATTAGGGGCAAAGAAATACATATAGATGTGTATGTTTACAATGTTATTTATACATTTCAGGTATCAATCTTTAAACCTTACCCATGTTCCAGAAAGAAGTATATCTGTATATCAGTTTAGATGATACTTTCCTAAATGTGCAGCCTGTGATAATGTTTTGTGTTGAACTTTTAATTTATATGTGCTATGTTCACTGGTTTGAACCTGATGGAATAATGCGTTAAGTGATTCGTTAAGTGATTCGGTACCTGATAGAATAATATGTTAAGTGATTCGGTACCTGATAGAATAATATGTTAAGTGATTCGGTGCCTGATAGAATAATATGTTAAGTGATTCGGTGCCTGATAGAATAATATGTTAAGTGATTCGGTGCCTGATAGAATAATATGTTAAGTGATTTGGTGCCTGATAGAATAATATGTTAAGTGATTTGGTGCCTGATAGAATAATATGTTAAGTGATTTGGTGCCTGACAGAATAATATGTTATGTGATTCAGTACCTGATGGAATAATATGTTAAATGATACAGTACTGTTAAAGAAAAATTAAATTTAGAATCTGTGACTAGACCTGTTTTATGTCTAGATTAAAGTTTTTTGAAGATTGTAATGAATTCTTTTTTATGTATATTCTAATATTATTCTTATTTATAATTTTGAAACTTATTCATGAAATCCTCATGCACAACTTTGATAAGTTATTAATTAACACTTGTAATATTTCAAAATGCACTACTTTACAAGGTTGCTTATTTGTTAGTATTATATTATATATTATATGCAAAATTTCAACATTTTTGTGTCGCGGACGGATTAGTGGCCACATACAGGGATCACTTCTCTGTTATCTGCCTGTCTGTCCATTTAAAAAATTGTTCGGACTACTACTTAAAAACTACTGGTGCATTTTCATCCAATATTTATAGGAATGATCAATACCTAGTACAGTTGTGCATGTCTTTGGCATTTTCTGGTTCATTGATTTTTGTCAGAGTTGTGGCCCTTTAATGATTTTTATTTTTAAAGTTTGTTAAGACTACTTCTCTTATACCACTAATGTAAATTCAATAGAACTTTACAGGACTGATCGTTACCTCAAGTACTTGCATATATTTAATAGGTTTTCAGGTTGAATGACTTCTGCTGAGTTTTGGCCCTTGAATAAAATCGTGTTTTGGCCTGTTTATGAATTTTGTGTCTCCTGCAATACAATAGCTGCAGCATGCTGCTACTTTACAAGAGGTTGATCACTCCCCAATACTGCTAAATTGGCTATCATCAGGCAACATGTGATCACTGATTGCTCTTATATTTAAAGGTAACCTGTTAATACAATGATTTTACTAGCTAGCTATTGAATATATTTTAGAGAGGTTACACTGGCTTGCCATTAAATTTTTAGACATTAATTTCATTGGCTAAATATTGAATGACTATTTTTACAGGGGTTCCTCTAGCGAGCGGCTAAATGTTTTATACAGAGGTAAAATTTGTTAAAGAAGTTGTATCAGATGGCCAATTAAAGTGTAACCAGTGTGTCATCTTCCTAACTGCATTAGAGTTGCACACTTCCACTTTATTGCTTGAAAATTCATAATTTTTATATGGTTTCTTTTCTACCAAACATGTGCTGAAGTATGTTTTATTACATTATCAAACATAATAATGAAAATGTATTTCTTTTAGTGTCTTATTTAGTCTTTAAATTTATGATATTTATTATCCCAGACATGTTCAACATTTTATAGTTTATGCCTATGTGTACAGCAAAAATGAGTAAATTACAGGAAAATTGAACATTTGTTCTTTTCACTTGCTTCATAGATTATAAAATCTTGTTTTATGTAAGTCAGAAAAATGCATGTTAATGTAGGTGTGTGCATGCCAATATATTGGATATGTATTTCTAAATATGTATTGTCTGTTATGAAAATTATAGACAAGTTATGCTTCTGTATTTTCTGTTATAAAAAATATGTTAAAATAATGCTTTTCAAATGGATGTGATTTTTTAATTACAATGTATAATATTCAGGGCTTTATGTAATCATTTATAATTTATTTTTTCGCAAATTTTGTTATTTATAATTGGAAACATGTAGATTTTTGTCATCATCGATTTTCATTCCATCATTAGACATTTAACAAAGCTTCATTAACGTGTCATCATTAATTTCCTTTATAAGGAGTTTACATTATTGTGTGTTTTGTTATTGACTCAATAAATGAAGAAAAAATCACTTTCAGAATTAGTTTGTATTAAATATCCAATTTGTTCTTTGGAAATTGAAGCTTTTTAGCTCACCTGAGCATATGCTCAGGGTGAGCTATTAGGATCACTTTTCGTCCGTCGTCCGTAGTACGTCGTCCGTTGTCTGTTCACACTTTTCAAACGACATCTCCTCTGAAACCATAAGGCAGATCATAATGAAACTTCACAGGGATGTTCCTTGTGTGAAGCCTTAACAAAGTTGTTCAAAGAATTCCATTCCATGCAGAACTCTGGTTGCCATGGCAACCAAAAGAAAAAACTTTAAACATCTTCTTCTAAAAAGCCCAAAGAGCTAGAGCTTAGATATTTGGCATGAAACATCTTTTAGTAAGTGTCTACCAAGATTGTTCAAATAAAAGCCCAGGGGTCAAAATTGGCCCCGCCCCAGGGGGTCATTGATTTTCCCTATATGCATATAGTAAAAACTTAAAAAAATCTTCTTTTAAAGAACCCAAAGAGCTAGAGCTAAGATATTAAGCATGAAACATCTTCTAATGAGTGTCTACCAAGATTGTTCAAATAAAAGCCCTGGGGTCAAAATTGGCCCCGCCCCAGGGGGTCATTGATTTTCCCTATATGCATATAGTAAAAACTTAAAAAATCTTCTTCTAAAAATCCCAAAGAGCTAGAGCTTAGATATTTGGCATGAAACATGTTCTAATCAGTGTCTACCAAGTTTGTTCAAATAAAAGCCCTGGGGTCAAAATTGGCCCCGCCCCAGGGGGTCATTGATTTTCCCTATATGCATATAGTAAAAACTTAAAAAAATTTCTCTTAAAGAACCCAAAGAGCTAGAGCTAAGATATTTAGCATGAAACATCTTCTAATGAGTGTCTACCAAGTTTGTTCAAATAAAAGCCCTGGGGTCAAAATTGGCCCAGCCCCAGGGGTCATTGATTTTCATTATATACATGTAGTAAAAACTTAAAAATCTTCTTTTAAAGAACCCAAAGAGCTAGAGCTAAGATATTAAGCATGACACATCTTCTAATGGGTGTCTACCAAATTTGTTCAAATAAAAGCCCTGGGGTTTAAATTGGCCCCGCCCCAGGGGTCATTGATTTTCCCTATATACATAGAGTAAAAACTTAAAAATCTTCTTTTAAAGAACCCAAAGAGCTAGAGCTAAGATATTTAGCATGAAACATGTTCTAATTGATGTTTACCAAGTTTGTTCAAATAAAAGCCCTTGGGTCAAAATTGGCCCCGCCCTAGGGGGTCATTGATTTTCCCTATATTGCATATAGTAATTAAAAACTTAAAAATCTTCTTTTAAAGAACATAAAGAGCTAGAGCTAAGATATTTAGCATGAAACATGTTCTAATGGGTGTCTACCAAGTTTGTTCAAATAAAAGCCCTTGGGTTAAAATTGGCCCTGCCAGGGGGAGGGGGGAGGGGGGCAAAAGTCATTGTTTTTCATTATTTGTGTATAGTAAAAACTTAACATCATGAAACATCTTCTAATGGGTGTCTTCCAAGTTTGTTTGGTTTAAACTAGCCCCGCCCTGGTGGCCTATGTACAGGTGAGCGACCCCAGGGCCATCATGGCCCTCTTGTTTATTATTGTACTTAGAGTAAACTTTGTGTCCCAACTTCAAATTATGATAATGAATATGAAATTTATTAGTATCTATATAACTTGCCCTGCAGGGACACTGTTTCTCTGTTTAAACAATATTTTATTTTCAGTAATTCCATACATAGTCAAATTATATTTCTGTTCAGAGACATAATTTAGAAAACAGTCAATAACTTGTTAACCTCTCCTGGACATTACACATTCACATCATTTCATAGGTTATTGTAACAAACTATTTAGAATTTCAGTAACAGGAACACATCTAATAATATGTCCTACTCCATGGATGTTCCATGATATCTATTGTTTGTTATCCCTGCCTAGAAGGAACATGAAATTGCCTTGTTCATTTATCCAGTCTGCATCAATTTCTTGGAACCAGTTTGTCCAATTTTCTTGAAACTTGGCTGGATCATAAATATGAACAGGGAAATAATTATTAAGGTCATTTAGTGCCTTCAAAATCTGCCATTTGGTTCTGAGTTATAGCCCTTTGATTTTTGAACAGAACGACATTTTTTAAGGAAAATTGATAAGAATATAATGGAAACTAAATGATGTTTATCAAATGCTTTCCAAATCTAAATATTTGAGCTCAATTATTCAAATAATTATGAGTCCTAGAGTCGGCGTTCATGACATACTTGGGTTAAAATGTTGTTTGCAGGTTGTTGCCTCCAAAACCCGTGAAGGGAATAGGTTGAAACTTTACATATTTGTCCTCCATAATAAGCAGGAGTCCCATGACTCTGAATTACCTATTCACAGAGTTATGCCTCTTTCGTACTATCTTAAGGACAGCTGTTGTTCTTTTTAGTTGTAGCCCTTTGTAAATCTAAAATTGACAAAATTGATATATTTCAACACTGATGAGCTAGATTTTAATATAAGTGGGATGTTCAAATTGTAATGCAATTCGATGTGTTTAGTGAGAAGGGATTTAAGTAGCGCAATCCTTCATTTGTTGAAGCACTCAACAGCATGTGCTATGCTCAATTTTAGCATTTGATACAATTTTCAAATGAATTTTGATAGTCATTTTAGAGATACAATGGATACACTGGACTGGAATATGACTGACCCAAAATATCTGCGGGTCCGGTATTTCCTTGCAGCAATGTACTTGTTTAGTCTTGGAAATAGAAAAAATAATCGCAGGAATGGGGGAGGGCAAAATCTGATAGATACGGAGGTTGAGGAAGCAGCTCAACCACATTTTCCTGCTTTAGAAAGTCACGTACAATGGCCGCCTTGTGGCAAGGAAAGATTGTCGTGCAACAGCCGGATATCACACAGACACGTGGCTGGCCTTCGTTTGTTGAAGTATATTCAGTCCCTCTTTCGCGTGTTTGGTATCTAATATCTTGAAACTAATGCCTTGGCTCATAAAAATGTACCCATGTCTCTTCTAATTAAACATTCAAGTTGTACTTGATTGAATGTTTGCAAACTGTCTGGTCTTTGTAGTTTTACATCAAGGTTATGCACGTGCCCTAAGATAAAGAACATTAAAATGCAGTAAAATAGACCTTATTATGCCCCCACTTCAAAGAAGAGGGGGTATATTGCTTTGCATTTGTCTGTCGGTCCGTAGACCAAATGGTTTCCGACTGATAACTAAAGAGCCCTTAGGCCTAGGAACTTCAAACTTGGCAGTAGCGTAGCCGGGCATACGCCAGTACGCCGTAGGCGTACTAAACGAAAATGAA